AGGAACACTGGAGGAAAGAACTGATGGTCAGCAAAACACAAATCTGACTGTTTCAACCGGAATGTCACGTTTTCACCCCGAGTTTCCCAAATACTCTCCTTTGTCGCGTATTTTTCTTTTGAGAAATTCATAGAGTCTTCCTCTGTTTATTTCTTTCAGCAGTGTTACCCACGCAGTTAAACTCTGAAGTGCAGCTCGCTGCGTGAGGGAGGAGGTGAGCGAAACGGGGTGGTGCGGTGGGAGCTGCTGGTCCCAGCAAACCCCTTGCAGCAGCGAGCGCCGGTACCAGAACCGCTGTTGCAGTTGCGTTCTGGGCTTTTATTATTATTTTATTTCTTGATTGCTGTACGTAACTGGATCTTTTATCAAAATCAGATCAGCCCAGATGCTGGAGCTCCTCTGCCCTGACCTAAGCGTGAACCAGGCACTGTCCAGACACCTCCAGCCTCTCTGCTCCCTGTTTGCCAGGAGATTTTTTTAGCAAACCACCCCCGACAAGATTTTCTCTTTTTTCGTTGTTTCGGTGCTGGATGGGGTTGGTTTGTATCTGGGTCACTGGCTGTGGCGGTTTTTTTGTCACCAGGGTCTGAGGAGGGGTGTGGAGCAGCGCTGCGTTCGTTTGATGCTCTGAGTGCCTGGATGGCCAGCAAGCTGTGCTGGGGGTGATAACTCATTTTTAGCTTCCAAAAGCAAAGTGAAGGAGGAAGTAAACACTGAAGTGTCAAGGTTTGCTGCTGATGCGGACTTAAGCGGAGGAGGAAAACCAGCCACAAGCTGCAGAGACAAGGGGAGCCTTCTCCGGACAGTCAGCAGATAAAGTCAGCGCTGATAACAGATCTGCAAGGGGGAAGGAAAACTCTGCTTAGGCAAGAGGAGCCGTTTTCACGCAGAAAGGAGATCTTTTGAGTTACGTGGGTGGCTCCTGGGCAGGGGCTGGTGATGGTGGAGGAGGTGAGGAGGCCGCTGGAGATGTGGCATGCTGCGGTCCCGGAGGACCCGCGCCGTGGCTGTCAGCGTGCGGCCCTGCTCCCGGCCGGGACGTGGCTGAGGGTCCTGTGCGGGTCGCGCTCCCCCCCCGCCACGGCGCGAGGCGTGCAGGGGACGTGGAAGGGAGGTGGTCACCGTGGTGCAGGAGGAAGGCACAGCGAAAGACGTTGTCAGGCGGCCGGCTCGAAGCAGCAGCAGCACATTTCCGAGCAACCTACGTACAACTGAAATAGGGGATTCATTGCTGCTGGATTTAAGGGATCGGGGGGTTCAGGTGTGTGTTGGTCAGGCAAGTTGGCAAAGAGCTTTTCGTGGCTCTGGGGAACGATGCTTTCAGTGCGGCTGCGGGAAGCCCCACAACCAGCGGCTGAGGACGGCTGTGCCCGGGCAGGATTGGTGCCCGCAGCCCAGCGTTTCGACGCTCTCCCCAAGCCCACCATCAGCAGCAAGCGAGCAGCTTCGGTGGTCTCTGATCTGGCTCAATGCAACCAGCTTGAGAAGGGCTGTAGGAGAGGAGAACGGGAAGAGGGGCAGGCGCGCGTTCTCCCACGTCCGTAGCAGCCTTTGCTTGCAAGTACAGTTTGAAGTCTCAACGTGGAAGAAAAAAAAAACAAAACCAAAACAATAAAAAAAACCCCAAAACCAAAAGCCCCGGTCATGTCACTTCTCGTGATGACAAAGAGACGGAGGAAGATGTGAGAAGCGGTGCCGAGGTGTGATGACATCGTCGGCAGCTCTTGCAGGCGGCACCTGCGCTTTCGGCGGCGTGGGAGTCGATGGAAACGGGGAGCTGCGCCGCGTGGCCTTCGGAAACGCGCCCAGAGCTCTGCTTCCACCCAGAACTCTGTCATCCTCCTTCGCCTTGTTTCATGTCTAAAAAAACCTCGACGCAGATTCTGAACAGCTGAAGGTCCTCAAGCACCCCCCAGGCCTTCCCTGTGTCTGCGCTGTCACCACAATACCTTTGCTTTTGGCCCGGCACTAATTAAACCGAACTCTGTTTGTGTCAAAAAGCCACTCGTCACTTCAGCACGAAGTCCGCCTGGCGAGGCTGCGGGCAGAGACCTCCGTGCTTTGCTCCTCGGCAGTACCGGACCCCTCGGGGTAGAGGTGCTGCTTGAGCAACCAGAGGAAATACTGTGTGCAAAATAAAGGGGATGTTTAGGGGTTTTTTTTTTCCTTTCTCTCGGTTACGTTCTCATTTGGGTTCCCAGTCCAGTGCTGCAGGTCAGATTTGTTACTCAGCTTTCCGGAGAAAGCTTCCATGGGAATATCAGCTTCTGCTGGATGTGCAGGCTGATGGAGCACTGCAGGCAGAGCTGAGCGAACTCTGGGTGAAGAATCGCATCTTGCCTAGCACAGAGCTTGAAGCTGGGCAGAAGAGCGATCAAACAGCAATTGGTCCCTGCTGCTGCAGCGGCTGGGCGGTGGTTGTCTTCTCCCAACCCCCTGTGTGCCACGTGCCGTCCCCGCTTGAGGCTGGCTGGGGTGGCAGGGATGCTGCAGAGCATCTCTCTGCTGCTGTGGTTGCTCCGGGGCTGGGGCCTGGGCTGGTGCCGTGGATCCTGAGCCGTCGACGGGGCGTGAAAATACGCCTTCTGTTAATCTAAGTAATGTCTTGATTCTCCAG